TAACTAACAAGCATGTTCTTTTCTGAATAAATATATTCTCCAAACATTGTAGAGTTCTTAGGTAATTTTATTTTATATTATTTAAAAAAAGTGAACACTTAAATCTCAGAGAGAATGAAGTTTTAAAAGTAGATCAGATATATAGAATAAAATGAATATTAATGATACAAGTAGTGTGACAAATACCTAAATCATATACGATTTGTAAATCAATAATATTGGCGTAATACGACTGTATTTACTTAATCAAACAAGTGTAAATCAGTATAATCAAACGACAGGTATCACATTTAGTAATCGGCCGACGAAGGGGAAGCAAAATAATTATAGATTCTAGTAGAAAGTGATGCAGACGATAGTGAAATTTTCACTTATGGTAGAAAGCAGATTAGAAATTATAATGTTAAAAATACCTTTTGCAGCATCAGAATATAAATCAAACAAAATAATGATACCATTTTAGTATATTCTCATGTGAAGGTGAGCCTAATTTCAAATCAAAACACTTATACCTTTGAATCTATTTTTTTTTCTATTATAAAATATTTTATAAAACAAAATTATCCTATTATTCTTTTAAAGAAAATATCTGTTTCAAATTGATTTGAAAAAATAGTATATTGTCACATTGAGAAAATATATATTTTAAAACTGATCAATTATATAAATTATTTTTCGAATAAAAAATTAAATTTAAAAATAAAGAGGAAAGATCTATTTATAACTATAATAAACAAAAACGAATATTCAGTTATAAATGCAGAAAGTGTTAAGATCAGAATGGTTCAAATATGTCAAACATGCATACGAAATATATGCACAATTTTAATACACGCTCATAAACAATTTTAATTTAAAAATACTATTTTAAAACTTATTCCTTCTTTTTCTACGAGTGAAAAAATTATATATTTTATATAAATTAAAATTTGAAATATATTAATTGAAAACATAAATAATCTATCTAAAATAATTCCCACAAAATTGAGTAAATTATTAAATATGGAGAAAATTATTTACAAGTAAACAATAATTTTCAAACTTTATTAAAAGAATAGCCCACGATATTTGACAAGAGAGATAATAAGTTTAAGCTTGTACCTACCTAGAGATGGGAAGAGTTGTGTCGTCTGGCAAGAAATTTAGCTCTCACTTTTATGAAGGGGGGGAGGTCACGTGACCGACTGGTTGGGGCAGCAAGCAGCGTTGCCGGTTGGACTGGTGGCAGACGACGGAAGAACTTAGTAATTGCTTGGCGGGCAAGGTCAGATCAAGCTTTTGTTTGTACCATAATGTCTTTTATAAGGAGAGGTAGTTCTTTAATTTAATCAGCTTCCTGGAGTTGCTGACATGAGAAAAATGGTCGTCTGAAACACAAAATAATCTTTTGAGAGAAAGGGGAAGATGTTAAGGAAATAATTTAAGCCTAATGTAATAAGTGAGGAATGTTGGTACTATTCATTTAGAACATTTAGAATGTGCTTTTACAAATATTTTAAAATTATTTTTATAAAAATATTTTTAAAATTCATAAATTAAAAGAAAAGTATTCTTAAAATAAACGCGCGTACTATACAAAAAGTTCTTCCTACCAAAATTTATATTTTTAAATTTTATTTAATTCTTTAAGAAATTCATTATCATTTTTATTTTTAAGAAATGAAAGCATTAAAGTACGAATTTTTATTTTACACATAAAACGGAAAAAAAAATCTAAAGAAACATTCCTGATTTAATGCTTTAACTTATTATTAATAAAATGGGCGTTATTGCTTTATAATAATAAAAATTATTATTATAAATAGTTTGCTTTTTATTTTAGCCTAAAGTCAATATTAAACTTCAAATATATTTGTCTTAATTTTCAAAGTGAAAATAAAATATCAACAGTTAGCAAGTTTGGTAAGACTTCATTTCATGTGTGAGGGGGTTTTATATATAATGAAACGGTTGGGAGGGGGAAGGATTATAGGGTTAATTCGAGAAATTAAAAAAAAATCAAGTGAATAAAAAAATAACCCTACGCATATATAAAGACAATTATTTTATCAAATATTTATTTAAATTAGTAACATGCGGCAAGCGCTGCGAATAGAACGCAGTTAAACTATGGAATTCAAACAATGGAGGCATATAAAACAAGAACAAAGGTCTATGATAGTTCAAAATCGAAATGATAACAAATATCATGGAGAAAATCAATAAATTCCATAAACATTCATCATTAGAAGCTACACATGCGTGCCACTGATGGACGTTCCTCATACGAGGTGTGTTCAGAAAGTATCGCGACTTTTGTGTTTTTTCAAAAATTATTTATTTATTCATGAATACCTATTTTGTCCCTTTCAAAGTAATCCCCATGAGATATTATACACTAGTGCCAACGGTTTTTCCAATCTTCGAAGCACTTAAAAAAATATTTTTAAAATATCTTTTTCAGCTCCTCCTTCGATACCGTCTTTATCTCGTCAAGCGTAGCGTAACGTCGTCCTTTCATGGGCCTCTTCAGTTTAGGGAACAAGAAAAAGTCACAGAGGGCCAGATCTGAGGAATACAGTGGCTGCGGCATCATTAGTGTGTTGTTTTTGGCCAAAAAGTCGCGCACAAGCAACGATGTGTGAGCAGGGGCGTTATCGTGGTGCAAAAGCCAATTTTTGTTCTTCCACAAATATGGGCGTTTCTGGCGGATTGCTTCGCGCAAATTGCGCATAACTTGCAGGTAATATTCTTTATTGACCGTTCTACCCTGTGGCAAGAACTCATGATGCACCACGCCCCTGCAATCGAAGAAAACTGTCAGCAAAACTTTCACATTCGACCGAACTTGGCGCGCTTTTTTCGGTCTTGGTTCGTTCGGCAGCTTCCATTGAGATGATTGAGCTTTGGTTTCCACGTCATAACCATAAACCCACGCTTCGTCACCAGTTATGACCCTCTGGAGCAAATTTGGATCGTCGCGGACAGAGTCCAACATCTCATTAGCAATGTTCATGCGATGCTGTTTTTGGTCGCAATTGAGCAATTTTGGTACGAATTTCGCGGCGACCCGTCTCATGCCCAAATCATTGATAAAAATCGAATGGCACGAGCCAATCGATATGTTTAGGTCCTCAGCAACTTCTCTAACGGTGATTCGACGATTGGCCAATATCATTTTCTCCACTTCATTAATTTTTTCGTCTGTTGTTGAAGTGCTCGGGCGTCCGGCACGCTCTTCGTCGTTCACATCTTCTCGGCCTTCTGAGAACATTTTGTACCACCGATAAACGTTGCTTCGGTCCAAGGTAGCTTCTCCGTATGCCACAGTCAACATTCGGAATGCATCCGCGCACTTAATTTCGTTTTTCACACAAAATTTGATACAGGTTCTTTGATCCATTTTTTTTTAATAGGTAAAAATCGAAGACGATCCAAAACACCTGCAAGCAAAGCAGCTGTCAACAATTAAGTGAACATTCAAAATGGCCGAGCTTGTCGGCATAAGTGAGAGACATGAGTACCAACATAAAGCCACAAAAAGATCAAAATTCGAATATACGTAACCCGCGAAAATTCAAAAGTCGCGATACTTTTTGAACACACCTCGTAACCCTCGGTTTATAAAACTCCTTAGGTAGAAAACAGCCATTCTTCTACCGCAGCCTCCACCTCATTGTCTGATCCAAAAAAAAAATCCGTTCTTTGTGATCTTTCTTAAAAAGTTCCAAGATATGAAATTCACTTGGGGAAAGGTCAGGACTATATGGAGGATGTGGTGCGGAATTTCCAATTTTGCCCATACTAAGTATCACCCTAGTCCAGGGGGTCGTCAAACTTTTGAGTCGGAAGGGTCAAAAATTGCAATTTTACAAAATTTCAAAGTTTTTAAAGAGACACAATTTTTTTTTCTTGGCAACAATATATAGTACTCGCATAAATAATATTTACGTATGGAACTATATAAAGAGCTTCACATCCAAAGTGCCGCATGTGGCTCGCAGTTTGCCGACTCTGCCTTAGTCACCTCTGCGGTATTAGAACGGGTGCCATCAAGTAATGCAGAGTTTCTTGACAACAGACCTCCTGTTTTTTACTCCTTCAGGGATAGGCTTGAAGATATTTCACGGCATTATGGTGGTGCTTATCTCCATGGTTAAACCAATTCCTGAAGTCCACTCCTCTCCAATTTTGCGATGGTAGTTATAGGCCTGGAAAATAGGTCCTCTATTGTCAGTTATGAGCATGACAAGATATGATCCGGAGAAGCTTCTGCACTATTTCATTTCAAGCAGTTATTGAAGGTTTTTTGTTCATTTTGAAATTTTAAGGTTTTTATATGGCCATTTCTTCACGGCATTATTCGTGGTTTTACTGGAAAAAATGAAACGCCGATAAGTCCCTTATAATTGTAATGTATCTATGACTTATTACGACATTTAATCATCATCACTATGTTTGTAAACATACTGCATATCTGTTAATCTTTTGTCTAACAGATAAATTTCCTTTGTATTTGTAATCAAAATGTAAGCAATCATTAAATCTTTTAAAATACAATATAACGCGGCTGATGATTGTAAAACGAAAATTGATATTATACCGCGAATGTTTCTTTTAAACAAAAATCTAAATTTATTTTAAAGAGAAATAACGACCATTTCTAACTTTAAGGATGAAGTATGAAAGGGTGAAAATATGAAGAGTAATGGCGAACGGAAAAATAAAAGTGTCCAGGGGCGGGAATCGAACCCACGACCTTCCGCTTACCGGGCAGATGCCATGTCCACTAGGCTACCCTGGACATATCTTTCCGTTCGTAAATATTATATAAAGTAATTTAAAATACAATATAACGCGGCTGATGATTGTAAAACGAAAATTGATATTATACCGCGAATGTTTCTTTTAAACAAAAATCTAAATTTATTTTAAAGAGAAATAACGACCATTTCTAACTTTAAGGATGAAGTATGAAAGGGTGAAAATATGAAGAGTAATGGCGAACGGAAAAATAAAAGTGTCCAGGGGCGGGAATCGAACCCACGACCTTCCGCTTACCGGGCAGATGCCATGTCCACTAGGCTATTTGGTACCAAGTAACGCGATAATCAAAGAACATAGTTGCTAAACACTCTAGAGAAGACAAAGAGGAGTACATTTCTACAGTTCCTCCACATCTGAGGATGCTTGGTCTGTCTTCTGGTTTCGGAGGTTGTAAAAGGTTTCGTCATGTTTTATCACCAGTTTTTTTTTTACTCTGCCTTCTAAAAAGTCTAATTAATTGCGGATGGTTGAGTTTCACTGAACGATTTTCTTCCTCCTTGCTTTTTCGGGATTGAGATGATGCTATTGTACAAATTACTTTCACAGGCCCGGCCCAGAACCCCTCCTTTACGTGGCGGGCGGGAAAAGCAGCACAACTAAGGGACTGCCCTGTAGGACAAAGTACGGTGTCGTGAGCCCCGAGCCGCTACTGTAACCGTGAAGGCCTACCGGAAACTCTGAAATGTGGCTGACTAACGGGGCAATGGCACCTCCCTTTCCATGGAGCAACTGGACAAGACACCACTTTCGCAGACGTTTAGTTGTTACAATCTGTGGCACTATTTGTGGCAAATAGTCGAGAGAGGTTAGATTACGTAAAGAAATTCATTAACACACCAAAAGAATAATCCTTATTTATTTCAGTATAATAACAATAATGACCGTGATATATATTGATAATAAAGATTAGTATTAAGGTAAAACTTAGTTATTCGTTCTGCCCTTCACATGTAGATTACTTGTACTGTAAAAACACCATATGTTTACTTATGTACTACCAATCCATGTTGGATAGAGGGTTGTGACAGTATGTACTGAGAATAAACTACATAACTACACATATTGACTCCTTGTAGTATAGGTTACTATATTTATACTACACGTTCTGCATGACCTGTCGAAAAAAAATCCTACACATGGATACTACTTGTAGCGTAAATCCATCATAGTTTATGCATGTACTACCAAGCCATAGTGGGTAGAAGGTTGTGACAGTATGTACTGAGAATAAACTACATAACTACACATATTGACTCCTTGTAGTATAGGTTACTATATTTATACTACACGTTCTGCATGACCTGTCGAAAAAAAATCCTACACATGGATACTACTTGTAGCGTAAATCCATCATAGTTTATGCATGTACTACCAAGCCATAGTGGGTAGAAGGTTGTGACAGTATGTACTGAGAATAAACTACATAACTACACATATTGACTCCTTGTAGTATAGGTTACTATATTTATACTACACGTTCTGCATGACCTGTCGAAAAAAAATCCTACACATGGATACTACTTGTAGCGTAAATCCATCATAGTTTATGCATGTACTACCAAGCCATAGTGGGTAGAAGGTTGTGACAGTATGTACTGAGAATAAACTACATAACTACACATATTGACTCCTTGTAGTATAGGTTACTATATTTATACTACACGTTCTGCATGACCTGTCGAAAAAAAATCCTACACATGGATACTACTTGTAGCGTAAATCCATCATAGTTTATGCATGTACTACCAAGCCATAGTGGGTAGAAGGTTGTGACAGTATGTACTGAGAATAAACTACATAACTACACATATTGACTCCTTGTAGTATAGGTTACTATATTTATACTACACGTTCTGCATGACCTGTCGAAAAAAAATCCTACACATGGATACTACTTGTAGCGTAAATCCATCATAGTTTATGCATGTACTACCAAGCCATAGTGGGTAGAAGGTTGTGACAGTATGTACTGAGAATAAACTACATAACTACACATATTGACTCCTTGTAGTATAGGTTACTATATTTATACTACACGTTCTGCATGACCTGTCGAAAAAAAATCCTACACATGGATACTACTTGTAGCGTAAATCCATCATAGTTTATGCATGTACTACCAAGCCATAGTGGGTAGAAGGTTGTGACAGTATGTACTGAGAATAAACTACATAACTACACATATTGACTCCTTGTAGTATAGGTTACTATATTTATACTACACGTTCTGCATGACCTGTCGAAAAAAAATCCTACACATGGATACTACTTGTAGCGTAAATCCATCATAGTTTATGCATGTACTACCAAGCCATAGTGGGTAGAAGGTTGTGACAGTATGTACTGAGAATAAACTACATAACTACACATATTGACTCCTTGTAGTATAGGTTACTATATTTATACTACACGTTCTGCATGACCTGTCGAAAAAAAATCCTACACATGGATACTACTTGTAGCGTAAATCCATCATAGTTTATGCATGTACTACCAAGCCATAGTGGGTAGAAGGTTGTGACAGTATGTACTGAGAATAAACTACATAACTACACATATTGACTCCTTGTAGTATAGGTTACTATATTTATACTACACGTTCTGCATGACCTGTCGAAAAATATTCCTACACATGGATACTACTTGTAGCGTAAATCCATCATAGTTTATGCATGTACTACCAAGCCATAGTGGGTAGAAGGTTGTGACAGTATGTACTGAGAATAAACTACATAACTACACATATTGACTCCTTGTAGTATAGGTTACTATATTTATACTACACGTTCTGCATGACCTGTCGAAAAAAATTCCTACACATGGATACTACTTGTAGCGTAAATCCATCATAGTTTATGCATGTACTACCAAGCCATAGTGGGTAGAAGGTTGTGACAGTATGTACTGAGAATAAACTACATAACTACACATATAAACTCCTCGTAATGTAGTTCAATACATTTCTACTACACGTAGTCTGCATGTATTGTCAAGAAAAACCCTACATTTCTACACAGGTAGACTACTTGTAGTGTAAATACACCATATGTTCACACATGTAAAAGCAGGCCATGGTGAATTGTGACTATTTATACAGTAAGTAGAACATGTTTGCATATTAAATTACAATAATTTGTTCCATTACTACAACTCCCCTTTATCCGAACTTTCCCTTTTTATTACTTTTTTCACATTTTATTCTTTCTCTCCCAAAGCCTTCAACAGAATAGTCAGTCTAATTTATACATTTGTGAATATTGATCTTCTCGAGATATTGAAACGTGACAAACTCAATCTTGAAGATATTTCAAAAGAGATAGCTCAGAATACGAGAATATAAGGTTGTCCCAAAAGTTCGTGTTTTTCTTATTACTTGGCGAATAATATTATTACGGCAAATACATTATATTAATATATACAGTTACGAGCGTCATCATCTCTGTCACCGTTTGCTTTTTTTTTTTGGAATGGCGCTCTCCTATTGGTTGGCTACGATCACGTGGCTACGATGGCGCCGCCACTACGCGAGACACTTTGTTTTTGACTTTGCCCCCCCCCCCCCCCCACTCGCTTTTTGGTTTTTGTAACTATTGTGTTGGAGCGGGTCGCTCCTTAAATAAATGCATATATTAGTTAATAACTAAATGGAATCCTCTCTTTCTTTTTCCCAGTAAGAGACGCCTACGGAAGCCAACAGTACATAGACAGATAAAGCACATAAGCTATAGTTATTAACTAATATATGCATTTATTTAAGGCGCCAATTTATAATTGTAACAAATAGTATTTGAATCAAAACATTCAATCGGGTAAAACACGGGCGTTGCCCGGGTCATTCGGCTAGTAATAATATATAATACAATTACTTTATACATAATACAAAGACATTATACATAACAGCTAATAATATTGGTATTTCAAATTTTGCAATTGTTTACGAAATTTTGGGATAACCTTGTATCTTCTAAACCCTGGAATTCTGGAGGATCGTATATCCGCAACTTGAATAACGGATGAAACAATTTGAAAATCTGATCAAGATGTAATGGTCGTAACTCAGGAGGTCTAGACATTGTTCTGAGTGGCTTAACTGATTGGCATAGCTAGCGGCGACCTTGGAGACCGGACGGGGGCCCCTAGGGGACCTCGGAGACATTAGTTCTGGATGTGGGAGGAAGGTTGTTGGACTCTTGTGCTGTCTCGTCTCTTTATAATACCATCCGCTATCATTGTGGACTGTTTACCATCTCTCTTTGTTCTTATTTACTTCTACTTAGTTCATTACAGTACTAGTTATTGTGGGGTATAAATGATTTATATGATGTGTATTAGCACATATCTGTTATAAGAAATATCAACTATTTTTGACGCGTATGATTTATTTTTGAATTAAAATTTTCTACTGCCCTTACTTCAATGATAAAATAATGGGAAGGCCTAGTTTATCAGTGGTGAATCCTCTCAGCGGTTTAGCAAGTTTAATTTACCATACCCCCCGCTGTATTATTAGACATTTTGTAGAACGAAGTTTGACAAGTTTTACCGCAAATGTTTCTTTTGAACGAATAATCGAAATTTATTTCAAGAAGAAATAACGATTATTTCTAACCTTAGGGATGAAGTATGAAAGAATGAATTGTGAAGAGTAATGATAAACGGAAAAATAAAGTGTCCAGGGATGAGAACTTTTTATATCAATACTGAAGCTAGACCCTTGGAAAGGGTGTTTTAAATGAACTATGGGGACATAAGCTTTGAAGACAGTAGAAATGCATACGATTGTAATCATTGCAGTAAGGGCAGTAGAAATTGTTTTGATTCAAAAAGAATCATATGTGTCAAATATAGTTTATATTTCTTATAAATGATTTACTTCGTTTTTTTTCTTCACTTTATTTCCAACGTCCAAACCGCTGTCGCCTTTTTCAGGAAAAATTATTTTACCACTTATACTGGCAATCAGTTTCTTTTATTAAAATTGAGCGAGCGCTTTCAGGCACAAACTATCTTATTTATTTATTTAACAGTTGGGAGAGACACGCCATATCCACAATTTGGATAATTGCGTGTAAATCTGAAATTATATACAATTAACACATTTGAACAATGGGAAGCATGAAAATTACACGTTCGATGTCAAATTTTGCATATAGTAATTATAAATAGTAGCTTGAAATATGTACAGTCAATACTTTCGCCTTAAAATGTACAGCCTGCAGAATCTATTAAACTTGATGTATTGGTCTTTATTGTAAACAACTTGTTTTGT